AATAAGGACCGTCAGCAGTTCTAGGTACATTTCAAATGTTGCACAGTGAAGAGAGGCCCTCGTAGGCTCGTACCTGCAAGAGGGCATGGATAGTTCATAAGACCCGTTGAGGGCTCGCTCCACTAAATAGTCAAACTGTATCTGCATACTGTAAGTCCCCGATGCATTCAAACTGGTCTGACACTTTGGATGTACGGGACCCACTTGGACATCCAGATTCATTTCAAATGTTGTCTAGGGGAGCAAGGCCCTCAACGGGGTAACGAATCTAACGATGGCTAATAGGTTTCCTTTTTTACTTTTGTTCATCTTTCTTTTGTCTTTCACGCGTTCAGTGTTGCTTCTTTTTTTTCTTTTTTTCTTTCTAAAGCTGCCTTCTCCCCATCGGGGGACAGCTGCGAGGATTTAGTCCCTCCGCAGTGTCTGAAAGTGCTGTGCCCACCCTAAGTGAAGGCGGGCCTGCAAATATGTGCCAATGCCTGTTTATAGGGTTATGAGACCAGGCTGAGGGGCCCAAGCAGAGCCTGTTGGAACCCCCATGTGGAATGGATCTTCGACGAGGCCTTGTTACGAGTTAGCTCCTCGGCATGCCCCTGTAGGGCCCTTTCAGCAAGCATGAGCCCTCCCTAAGTGAAGGCGGCCCCCTGAATTTCAATATGGCCTGAGTTCGTCAATTTTGGGAAAGCTTGGTGGGCGCCAGACAGTTGCCATGCACGAGCTGGTTACATCCTCCGTACTCGTGAGAATCAGAAATAATTCGTGAGCCTTCTAGGCTCTTCCAGCAGCACAGGCGAAGCAGGGAGAACCTCACGTTTACTCCTGGGTGGTTGGGCAGGCCCAACAGTTTCGGTCCCAGATCACTGTCTGAATGGGCCTGGGCGCAGAGTCGCGGACACTTTGGCCCGATCGGAAGCTACTGGAAACACACGAGGCCCAGTCGAAAAGGAAACTGCGCAAGCACTTTCCATAAAGGAAAGAGCTAGCCACTGGTGGGGTCATTCGGGCACTAGGCAGTGCATGCGGCAGTGCTGCTTGAGCGTGCGCTAGCGGGCTATGTGCTGTGTGCTGTGCGCTAGCGCTAGGTGCCAGGCAGTGCGCGTGGGCACTGGAAGAAGGCAGGACGCTGCTGAGGACAGCGCCATAGCCAGCCCTACATAGCCAGGGCTTGGCTTGGACAGCTAGTGGAGGTGGTGGAGGTCTCCGTGTATGGGGACAAGATGTGGGTAGAGAGAGAGAGAGAGAGAGAGAGAGAGAGAGAGAGAGAGAGAGAGAGAGAGAGAGAGAGAGAGAGAGAGAGAGAGGGGGAAAGAGAGAGAGAGAGAGAGAGAGAGAGAGAGAGAGAGAGAGAGAGAGAGAGAGAGAGAGGAGGAGGAGGATGTGAGGGCACATACCTGGTCTTGGCGATGGTCCACAGGGTCAACATCTTCATGTACTTCGGTTGTTGCTGCTGACGTCAACAGGTTGCATTGTCAATTCGTAGGCTGGTATTAGCTGTGTGATTGTAGTCTGGGCGCTGAGCGCCAAGTACGGAGGAAGGGCTCTGGATACATATGTTGGTGGTGGCGAGAGTATGCTCTCATTGACATTCTGATTTGGTGCTTTGGTTCTCCATTGATGTAATATCAGCGCATTTCTGCTTCTGGACAGCATTGGACTTTCTGGCTTTCAATGCGGTTTTGCATTCTGGATTTCTGTCATTTCGCTATCTCTCATTCTCTCATTTTCCTTGCACAGCCATATAAACAGAGCTGCCCGGTAAAGCGTAGGCAGAGAGGGAGAGGAGGACAACAAATGAGGGGCTGTGACAAACTGTTTCGTAGGAGTTTCACCGACAGACTCATCAGGAGGCTGCACCCTCAACAGTCTGCAGCAGAATCCCCTAACTGATTACACTGTAAGTGATAGATAATCCACATTAAACCCACGGTTGTGGTTAAGCATCAACGACTGCCCGACAACTGATACCCTGAGGTGGGCACCAACCACTGCCCTCGAGGTACCTGTCATGGAAATCAAAGCAGACTATCACTCACCTGCACCAGATGACTGTCGGTTCGCACCTCATCATGCCTTCTCCTCATCGGCAGGACAGCAACGTGAAGCTGCCACCGAGGCAACCTCATGTTCTTTTTGTACTCTTTTTGTAACTTTTTTGTTTTTTTTGTTTTTTTTTGTTTTGGTAGGTGCTGTTTCTTTTCATGTCTGTGCGACGTGTCCGTGCAGGCGCTTGCCCAACAACTGGACCAGTAGGCATACGATGTAGTTTCTTCTGGGCCCGCCAGTCCTCTCACACCAAAGCACTACCGTCCCTGGGCCGAACGGCCAAGGCCCAGTGCTCGTCGGCGAGTTTTCGACGAACAGTCCGGGTGCGTGAACTTGTGGTTTAATACCGGATGTACTGGACCACAACTGCAGCCAAGTTCAGTCGAGAACTGTTCATCAAATCTCCAGCCAGTCTGGCAAATACCAGGACTCCAGAACTGAAGGGAGAAGTACTCCCACTGGTGGAGTTCGCCGGATGTACTGGACCACAACTGCAGCCCAGTTCAGTCGAGAAACTTCAGGTGTGAATGAATATGCCCTCAGTTGTTTGTCAGAACAGGACATGAATGTTATTATTGACCACTGAAACCTAAGAGAGTAAAATGAGTCATTAAAGCCGTGCAACGATTCGATAGGAAACAAAACCCTAAAGGGCCTAAAGCCATAAGTTACTTTGACAGCAACATCGTGGGGCTTCCCTCCGGTCCCTGCCCAGCGTTAACTTTCTTCCACACAGAATATATTTCTTGTCCTTCATCTGAACAGCACCCCAACCCCTCAGTAAGGGACAAGAGGTGACCCACTAGCTGAAACAGGCGACCCCTTTCTTCCCTTTCTTCCCATCCCATTCCACTGAGATACAAGGACACACGTGGAGAGAAGCGGAAGAGTACTCAACTCCAGCCAAGCCATGTGACGCCTGTCGATAAACAGGTCACCGGTTCAAAACCCCTACTGAAAGTGGAAGACAGCAACCCAAACCGGCCGCTGATGTGTTGAGCAAGGCAAAGCGCGGGTGGTTGAGGATATCTTAAACCGCCAGTACTTCTGCTTCTGACCCTCTTTTTCCCGAGCCTCGAAATGCCCTGCGCAGTGCGCGCCAAAAAAAAGCGAGCCCGCGCGGGCCTCCTTTCCTTTTGCCTCGTGCCGCCAGGAATTTTGCTCTGGTAGGCCGACCCTCAAAACTTAGGGCGCATTGCAAATTAACGGCCGTGTCGGAAAAAAATTGGCTGGACAAAGTACTGATGGACCGTGATGGTGCAATTAAAATTTAAAAGTTAACAAACCACCCAGCAATTGTTATGACCGTCACCCCAACGAGAAATGCTGGCATGCAAAATTGCAAATAAATCACCATCGTTCATGAATACGGATTCCGGACAGATGGTGGAGAACACTACGAAGCAGTATATGGCAGGTTTTGGTGGTTTGTCTTTGCGCACCTGTGCAAGAGACATGGATGGGATAAACTCCACCCAGCCGTCATCATTCCCAGTCGCCAATACTCTGTACGGAGTCAACCGCAAATCAAGATTCTCCTTCTTCAGAAGTCTGTCCATCAATGATACCATTTGAATAACCTGCAGCAGAGGCCATAGTGATTTTACAACAAGGCACAAGAGGACGATCAGACAGCCGCAGAAACCCTTGCGGTTTGCGGAGATTACCTTTCTCCCACCCCACCCCCACCCCCCGCCCTCCCCCCTTCTGAAGTACGCAAAGCAGACACGCAAACATTAGCCCAAGCTCCCGTTGAGGTCTTTTTATTAGAATTTAGAACCCTTCCAGTTTCCGGTGCAAACTTCAAAGACCTCTCTGTGGGGTGCCTAGTAAAACACCACACTGACCAATTGGCCTTGTAGCTCAGTTGCTGGTACACCCCTAAACTGTTACAAATCAGAGCACTTTTGAATTCCAACTCCACAGGCAGCAGATGAGGCCAACAACTGAGCTAGGCCTGTGGAGTTGGAATTCAAAAGTGCTCTGCATTGTAACAGTGTAGCACACTTGTGAGCTAGGCCAACGCTGAAACTGACGGGGCCTATTGTAGGTAATTCACAAGTATACTACACTTGTGAATTACCTACCATAGGCCCGGTCAGTTGGATGTTGATAACTCAAGGCCACTTGTGTGGTTTAATAGGTGGTGTCAGTTCCGGCGAATTTGGGCGAATTTTTCACCGAAAGTTCGAAACAGTGAAACTGCCATATTTCCCTGAATTTTTACTTTTTTCAAGTTTTTTTTGAAGTTTTTTGAACTTTTTTCTTGGTTTTTTTTTTTTTTTTTTTTTGGTCTGATGTGCATGTGCTTTAGGGTATATCTGTATTCAGTTTCGACGCATTTGGACCAGTAAGTAATGAAAAAAGTTCGCAAAGACACCGAATTCGGAGAAAGATTTGGCGAACTTCGAATAGGGGTTTATAGTGTCCATTCGGGGGCGATGGGAGGAGGTGGAACACAGCACAAATGAAGACCGAAGCACAACCACCGAGAGGAGACAGGGAGATGGCACACACAAGAGAGGAAGGAAGCTGGCAATCGAATGGTTAAAAAAAAAGGCAAACTCACCAATTGATCTTGCCGAAGGTCGTCTCCTTTCTTGAAGATGATCTTACATTTCCCGCCACCTTCTGTGCGAAATGTGAGACGGAGCGGGTGCAGTGCACTTTTGAACAGAGAGGACTCCTGAGCAATGATTCCAACAAGCATAACCTTCGGATCTAGTGGCAATGAGAGAGGCTAAATTAATTCCATACCCATTTCAAGACCCCACCAAAAAGCACAACATGCACCCACCCACAAAGGCACACAAAGTTCACAAACTGTCAATTCACAATATCACCACACAAAGCTGGGATTGAAGTTCATTGAACCCTAGACGTCGAGGGTGCAGACACAAGGCCCTCACACGTGCAAACTTGGTATGTTCCCCAGATCTGAAGCAGCCATGGAATGGACGCGGGCTTAAAAAAAAAAAAAAAAAAAAAAAAAAAAGA